CTGCTTAAGGGATTCGTGAAAGCATTTGCTGATTCTTTCAGTAACCTTGAATGTAATTCATCGGTTTCCATGTACCTGCCTACATCAAGCTCATTTAACAGATCGGTCGCCTCTTAGTGGCATCAATTCCTAATCAGAATTCTCGAAGCTGAACATGAGATAACAGGGAAAATAGACATTCAACATGTAACACTAAGGGAAAGTCAATAATGGTGGACGCAGGAACGTTCATTGGGGATTTAATCCATCGGGTGGCATGGCTCAGCCTTGCAGACGTGATCATCCTTATTCAACTTATCTCTTTTATTTACATTAAATATATTCTATCTCCAGCCTAAATGTGTTTGCCATCATGTATTAGTAACGGTTACTATACGATGAGTCAGTGTAGACAATGATGTGACCTCCACGTAACATCTTATAGATTGTGTAGTTACATCATTACAAATCTACAATCTTAGGGTTAGGTTTATTATTAGACCAGTACCAATAACGAAATAGACCATAATTTTACAAGGGTATCATTTGCTGTGTCTAGATTACTCTTGCCAATGCTTCTTTTAGAGGCATTCATCATTACAATGGCTTCGGACAGCAAGATTTTGAGTTCAAACAGCACTACTGAAACAACCACATGCAACTATTTTTACTTAGCTGTCTGTAAGTCGTAAATGTGTTTGATTCGTATAAACTTCGTTGTACCATCCTTTGCATTCATCACACCGCATGCCACAGTCTGGGTGTTGAGATTCACGTTGTATTACTGTCCAAACATAAATCAGAGGTTTTTAAAAAGAGACCAGATACAAACAATACCTAGAGACGAAAGAAACTAACGGCCAGAAAAAGAGAAAATATGTGAGTTTTTAGAACTAAAAGTGCAAACAAATACAATAAATCAATGTATAAAAGTACAGAGGATGAATTAACTATGATAAAAAACACTCTTGGCGAGTGCTCTGACTAAAATAAATTTCATTATAGTAATAATAGTAGTTTTATGCGTAATAAACAATCAAATCGATAAAATCAACTCGGTGAGGAAAAATGCCGCTATCTGCTTCCAGAAGCGCTCGTGGTAATCTGGACGAAAGTTCTAACATATAAGAGACTACGTTTGTTCTAGGGAAGTAAGGATGTTGCTGTAAGTATTTGTCGCGTCGAAGAGCAAGATGGTGATTGTTTTCAACATGAAACATTAGGAAACTAGTGTGTGGTGGAGCAAAAAGAGAGGACTATCAAGATCAATCAATGAATGGATTACCCATAAGGTGTGAATAGACTTAAGTCTAGGAGTATCAGGTAGGCTGTGTCGAGGAGTGAAGTAAGAAGAAATGGATCAGTAATAAATGTAATAATAATGGTGGTTGTAGTAAGATAAGAGAAATGTATCATACAGCTATCCCCGGCGAATAGTCATAACTCAGTTGTTGAACCTCTTTGTAAATTTTTCGGCTGAGTGCTCTTTGGTTATGTCTGATAAGAGAGCATCTCATGTATTTTCGACTCCGAATAAGGGAGTGTGATTTTATTTGAGTGTAAACTTTTTGACGACAAATTGAACGTGAGTTACCTCGTAAAGCGCATATTTAGGGTTCAGGTAGGGTATTTTGATTTACTCGGATGGTCAAATTGAACACGAGGGAAAAAGTGGGAAGTGTAAGAACTCTCTGTGTCAAGTTTAGTTTTTGTAAATTAAATCGGGGGAAGTTAGAGAACTTCAGACGGCCTTTGGCTTCTGAATGTTTCTGGAACCATAATAGATATAGTAACGACGTAGGTAATTATTCAATCAGAAATGAGACACAGGGTTTATCACGTGTCCCTGATGTTTTTGATCGGATAAAATGTTTTCAGACGTTTTCAAGGCCCTTCTCGACTTTGTCGAGGAAATCTTTGGATCTCCTTAACACAAGCCACCTCTTATTCTTCAGTGACTTGGCGATATCTAACCTAGGTAACATTTTCGTTCTCATAGGATTCGCCCAATTCGCAGCACGTCTTTGTATTTGCTTGAAGAAATTCGTGTCCGTTTTGTGATGAAGAAAGGGTATAATCTCTCGAGCTTCTTGATATGGATGAAGATAGGTTTTGAGAATTATTAGAAAAACTTAAAGGGCTAGCATCCATGGCTGTTTTTGCCCAAAGTTAAGAGTATTGCGTGCTTTGGCAGCATCCCCCTTGTAGTCGTTTAGCGTTTTCGAACTTTTTTTAGTAAGAGACCTAGATTGCACTTTGCCGGGGTTCTAAGTAGGTAGCGGCAGCAGAGGAGGTAGTGTGTTCAACAAATCTCTCATGTTCAGCATTCTTGCCAAAGATTTAAAAAGCCAGCAAGTGATGATCTGATGCTCCTCTTTTGGTTCTCACATCTTCCATCGTCTTCCTGAACTTTTTGTTGATGCAGTTGTGGTCGAGTTGGTTTTGTGTAGTGTGATCCGGTGAAGTCCATGTGTTTTTGTGAATGCGTTTATGTGGGAATATGGTGCCGCCTATGACCAGTTTATTGAAGGCACATAGGTTTGCAAATCTCTCACTATTTTCGTTCCTTTCTCCTAGTCCGTGTCGTCCCATGATGTCTTCATATCCAGTGTTGTCCGTTCCAACCTTGGCATTGAAATCTCCCATCAAAATGGTCAGGTCCTTTGTTGGACACTTCTCGATGGTTGACTGCAGCCTATCGTAGAATTGATCTTTAGCGTCTTCATCGTAGTCGCTGGCAGGCGCACAGCTGCTATATCTGTGACGGCAGATTGGAGATCGAATTTATTGATCGGACCAAAGACGCGCAAGCACGTAGAACGGCCTAGGGTTCTGATTGATCCCGCTTCCCTGTCTAGCCCAGCCAGTTGAGTCCAGAACACAAGTCTCAGCCTCTGAGATATGAATCATTATATTTCAAACACACTCTGTTTATATACTAATCAAGCAGACCACATCGTACCATAAAATAGAAAATAACATTGTACAATATTGACCAGAGTAAGAAAATGACACGTGAAATAAGTACTGACCAATAAGAAAATAATACCATCTCCAAGTCCAAGAATAGCATTAGACTTCATAGAATAATTTCTGGGATATTTTCCTGAATATCCTTACAAAAGCATTGGATGATGTTCATTGAAATACCCTCTTTCTTTGTTTTGAAGGAGGCCTTGATGATCCTTGGTCCATGAGATTCCCATCCTATAAGTGCCTTTTGTGCTTGTTTGGACAGCATCAATGCAACTCCTTGTGTATGTGGAGCGTTTTCTTCTTCATGGCCGGAGTATAACAGAAGCTCCTCTGAATCTAGTCGTTGTTGTCCAACTTTCGTCCAATGTGTTTCACTGATCCCAAGCAACTCCAGGTTGTATCTCCTCATTTCTGCAGCAATTTGGAAGGATCTCCCGGTGTCCCACATTGTACGAACATTACATGTCCTTAAATACATGGTTGCTCTGGTTGTCAGTAGGGGCATCGGCCTCGTGACTTCCGAAGGAACTCGGCTTTCATCATGAGGCGTCATAGTTCTTCCAAATGAAGAGCTTCTGACTCCTGTGGCAGAGTTTAAAAGGTTTGAATAATTTTTTCTGGTTAGCGTTTTTTAGCGAGTTAGTCTTTTACAGGATGGGGTCGCTAACCCCATGCCCAACCCTCCTCCTTTATCCGAGCTTGGAACCGGCGGTAGTTCACGGAGGGACTACAGGCGGAGTTTTATTGAAGCACAGTTGACTGATATGCTTGTAGCTTACCAACCAAGTATCAAAAATCCAATTCGAATACCAAACGTTTACTCGTAAACTATAAGGAACCAACCGAAATGTATTGTTCTAATCACGATCATAGCAATTGCACAATAGACCTTGGACTATTAGGTTTCCAGAGCGAAATTTCCGAAATGCCAAACAAAAATAGCGTGAAGCCGAGGATGTATAGGATCAAAGTTATGAATGAATAATTGTGGAGTCTAAGTGAACTAAATATATGCAAAAGAGAGTGAAGTTTATAATATTCATTATCACAGTCATTAAGCAGTTGGATACTTTCAGCACCATCCAGTGATCAATCAATTACAAATGCATTTTAGCTCTACAAGAGGTCATTCGTGGCACAGACAGCTTAGTGGTAACGTCTCTGACTGTAGAGATGGGTGAAACGGCATGAAACACTTTAGCAGGCAGAAATTTCACTAAATTTAGAAGTAAACACTGTATTTAAAAGTGCAACATAGTATAAAACTTAAGTCAAGAGTCTCTGTAGGCTTGTAAATCACAGGTGACTGTAAAGTTTTCCAAAGGTTCTTCACTTTAACTTAGAGTGAAAGTGGTAGTTTTTAGGCGTGTCAATGGGTCATATTTTAGTCTCACAGAAATCTGTGAAGAGAGGGATCCTCCAGGTGGTGTTTTTAGTATTTTGTATTTCTATCAAATGCAGGAGTTTTCAACCAGCATTTATGGGGGCTACGAAAATATTGTTTGAATAAACATAGGTGAGAGCATGACGACATCTTCTAAAGGCTTTAGGAATAATGGACAGCTGGTCTAATATTTCTGAAGTCGGGTGGAGATACGTTCAGAACAATCCAGAGCATTTGCAATTGTGAGTTTAAATATCAAGCGGTTGTATTAGAGTGGATCTAGTGAATACAAACGAAATTAATGAAACACCTTTCTGAAGTATCGTATAATAGTATACTACGACATGACTCATTCCCTCCGGCTTGCAGTAATCAGGAGGTAATCAGGCAATGAATGACTTTCTAGTGAGTGATGATTTTGAAATTATCGTATTTTCCCAATTTCTTCCATCTACAGCTGACCATCGGAGAGAATTTTCCCATAATGTCCAGAAAGTGAAGTTCATATACTTTCGTATCATTTATTCGGACGTAACTTAACAAAGCTTTTCCACCCTATATGCCATTATATCCTTCAGTTTTTGAAAAAAATTCATAATTGTAGTAACATAAATTTTGAGCAGTAATGTAAGTCTCTTGGCTTTTAGCACCTCGGGAGACCGACGCGTGTCATTCAAAGCTGACGTTACTTTGATTAGTCACGGACTGCAATGGCACTGACTTCTGCTGCTGGACTTGTTTCTCTTTTGGACGACAAGGGTTCTGATGTCAAAGTAAAATCAACCAATTTATTTCACTTATTCTCACTTCAGGCATTTGCTCTAAAACGTCTCTATGATATGGTTGACGAGTTTTGGGCTGAAATCTCAGAAGCAGTAATGAAAATTGAAATACTTCATGAAGACTCTAATTTTGAATATAACAAACTTGCTGCTTTACTTGTGTCTAAAGTTTATTATCATCTAGCTGTCTATGATGATGCACTTCACTATGCTTTATGTGCTGAAGAGCTTTTCGATCTAAATGCGAATACCGAATTTGTGGAAACCATTATTGGTAACTAACAAATACTAATTACAACTGTATAGCTAAATGTATTGATAAGTATACCGCTCTTCGAACTGCTCAAGATCAGCTTGTGGATTCGTCTGGTTCCGTTGTAACAGAATATTCAGACGACAGTACTTGGTCTGTTACTAGTCCAACATACAAAAGACTAGAACACGTTGTCAACAAGATGTTTGACCGTTGCTTTGATCACAAACAGTATAAACAAGCCCTAGGGATAGCTATTGAAACTCGGAGGTATGTTTTTGGTGTAATCCCATCAATGTTTTTTACATAATGATAACCATCCACCAAACGCATTCGTCTACAATGTGATGCCTTATAAATTTGTGTCTAGTAAGGCCGCGAAGAAAGTCTCGAAGGCTAAGCTGCCGAAGGTTGGTAAGAAGAAGAAGAGAAAAAGAAAGAGATGCTATTTACATCTATAAAGTTTGCCAAGTTTATCCTGACACTGGTAATGTCGATCATGAACTCGTCTGTGAACGATATACTTTGGGCGCATTGTCGCGGAGGCCATCCGACTATCTCACTACAATCTGCGAACTACACTGTGTATCACAGTGTTCAATTAAAGTTTTATACTTTCAAATCATTGTCAGAGTCCTTTAGGCTATCTGTTTTCTAGGTCGATTTTCTATATCAACCGAGATCTTCCTGTTATTTTGTCTATTCGATTATGAACGTATATAATCCTATGGAATCCATGCTTTTACGTGACTACTGTTCAATAAGTTAAGGTAAACAGACTCCGATGACGTACAGTGGTTACTAAAGGGGATTATGGCACTAAATGGTTACGTTTTACTGCTCACACAGGTTTACAAATGAACAGATTTTGGCGACACTATAATTTATGGACGAATCAATCAGGTTTAAGACAACGGGTCTTGGACGTTTTCGCGAAACTAATTCATTCACTTGGCCAAACAGAGTTTTGACATTATAGCTGATGTCAGTTCATGATGTAAACCTTAAATCTACTTCATAACCCTAACTATCAACCGTAAATATTAGTCCTAATTACTCACACCTGTTTGTGACCTTCATTTAGCCGTAGTATGTATATAGAGATTCTCAAGGTCTTTCTAGCGTAGCCCGGAGGTCGTCCATTATTTATAGTCTCACCCACATTTTAAATAGATAGGAAAGTTGGTCACTTGGGATGAAAAGTAGTACTTACTCACTGGTGGTGAATGTGCTTTGAGGTTTGGACCATATCTCCTCCATCCGGGCTTCAAATATAACGGAAAGATAGCTCTTCTTTAGTCTTCATTTCTAATCTGTAATATGTGTAGGTCACCATTAATTGGCTTTCGGTATACTAACACAACGTGATGATTTAGGTACTCAAGGAGTATATTAATTTTTTCCGACATCTAGCTACTTTTATTCCATCCGAAATCGCCCATGTAACATGGTTTTGAAGTACTGATCCAACTCATCAAGTTGAGTATTTGCTCTTTGTCACTCGCATATTTCCAACTGTTTGCCACTTTTGTACTGGAATGAAATATTTTAAGTGAATAAAATATCATTTTTTTCAGGTTGGACATATTTGAGAAGGCGATAATTTCGTCGGATGATCAAGAGGGCATGCTTCGTTATGCTTTTCGTGTTGTGCTCACTTTAATCGACAGTGTACGCTTGAGAAACCGTCTTCTTAAAATCTTAGTTTCTGTGTATATGAACCGAGCTCTTCCCTCAGATGCTGTAAATGTTTGTCAGTGTTTAGTACTAATGGATGACCCACAGGTTCGTCAATTTTAAAATATTTCTTTCATTTGTTACGTTAGAATGTTCCATGAAATATTGTTTTTTAGGATTGTCAGCTAATTTATCTAGCGTAAGTTTCTATACGTAGCTAACGGTATTACCTCAGTATCTAAACCAAAGTAGGTCAGGAGGGTCTGAATTTAAAACATGTTAGTTAAAAGTCTTGTGCTTTGACCATCAAGGTACTTCAACTAAGCCATTCATAGATATATTACTGAAAAGGAAGAGAATAACACTAAAAATAACGATTATGAACCTATGCATTAACGATGATGAATCAAGCGATAGTGTACCATTTAATACTATTTCACGCCAACGTAGATTACTCTAGATCTTAGACATACCAATTAACCTGATCTTTCTTAGTCATAATCTACACATATTTGACCTCGTCGGTTATTCATCTGTTATCTTCATTACTCTTATCTGAGCGTATATGCGTGAATGTTTATCACTTATTCTTTGTCATGTCTTAAGCTTGTTTTTCTGTCTGAATTAAAATATTTATTCACATTATTATTAAATTGAGTTTGCACGTTTGACTTTTCCAATTTGGCTTCTTTTCTCATTATCTGGGTCAGTAAATGTATGAAATATACGTATCCAAAAACCATTCTCCTATTTGACCTGTTCTGTTATTCACTAATGTAAACGAACTCGATGAATATGTAAAGGTTCAAGCAGGATATATGTTTCGTTAACATCATCTTCCGATCATATGGAGTCAGATTGCGCGTCATTAATTTTCATTTTTTATCTAGGGCTTGATTGCGGCTCGAATGGAACATATCAATAGTCGATGAAGAACATACATTCACACACATTTGAAAGATGTGATAACTCATCATCCTAAATCAAACCAAAAGACCTAAAATCTTTTTAAGAGGTTCATAAATACGTTAAATATTAACTTGATGGGAGGTGATATCGTGTTTTTTTATTTATTTAAGCACATAAACATACAAGACACCGAATACATATGCGACACACAAGTCACTTGATTTGTGTGTGTGCTGTGGTACTGCCCGAGTACACAAACCGAAGCAGGTAGTTTTCTTATATGGCCACACCCGGAGCCTTCGACCTAAAGATCTGATCCGCAAGGCAGTGGGGCAACGTCAGGAGAGGCAGTCCATGGTAGCCGGTGACCAACAACGGGTTCATACTCCATTTGTTCCTTCAGGATACTGGAGCGTATGTGCACCATTGGTTTGGAATCAGGGTTTTCCAACTTCCCCAGGTGGACTCTCCGTGTCCAATGATCCGGTTAAAGCGCCGGACATTCGCTTTTTGTCCACTCAATTTCGTAAAAGACACCGCTGCGAGGAGGCAGTGAGTAGGATTTCCGTGGTAGTGGCTGTATACGCGTGGCTGTGTGAGAGCATTTCGAGTGGGAGAGCTGACCTTCCCTACTCTCGGCCGTACCAGGACATTTGGGTGCTGGGAGGAATTTTCGAGTAACCAAGCCAAAACTTGATGTCAGTCCATGAAATCATCAACTGTTGAACTGAGTCATGTATTTAGATTCAGATTATCTGGTTGTGGTTCTCGTAACTACTGTAACTGGTGTTTAGGGACTTCAGGTGACATGGATCAATATTGCTCGCAATGGTACAGTTGTGTTCACTCTTTGTGTACACTTAAATCTTGAATTTATTAATCATCTTAGAAGTTATTTTGTTATACGAATTCATACTGTTTAGAACCATAGTTTTTATCCTTAACTTTTTCTTCTACCACAAATCCTGTTACTACTTATACTACTCCGAAATCCCGTTGTCATGATTTATTGTGACAACTTGAAATAAATCTACCAGGTTCTGTGTTGCATGTGACTTATTGACCATTTTATTCTGTTTGTTTAGGAGAATTTAGTTTAAAGATTAACTTTAAAAACCAAATATCATTTGATTCTGATGATATAAATTTAGTCAGTTTTCATGTCGTTCATTATTTTAACAGTTTGAGAACATTCTTGTTGAAATTCGTAAGGAAAATAATTGTCCTACTTTTGTCGTTGGTCAGTAAATATACTAATCATTGAGTGGAATTCCACCTTCACATCATAATTTGTATGTTATCATGTAATGTGGTATTTTCGTATGTGATCAAAAGCGCTGGTGTATCATAATTTCATTAAAATGTAATAATTTACTCAGTGGTTGGTAAAGACTTATTTTCACTAGCCTCCCTGGTTCCTCAAATTTTTCATTTCATTATTTACAGATAAATACACTAAGTGGTATATATTTACTTTCATTTCAGGCCACAGCAGATACTCTGGAACACTTGTTACTACAATCACAAGAGGCAGCCGTAACAGCATATCAAATAGGTTTTGATTTGTACGAAAATGCAACCCAAAACTTTCTTCAACGTGTTTCAGCCTCTCTTGCCCGGAGTTCAAAGTTGAGTCATGTAATGAACTTAATTGAACGTGATAAAAACGCTGCAAAAAGTTCAAAAACGCCGGAGGGTTCAGCTTGTACCACCGTCGAAACTACAGACGGCGATAAAAATAAATCAGACAACAAGGAAGCAGAAGAAGCGGTGGAAACTGCATTAGCTAGTGAAACAAACAAAGAGGCTGAGATACCTGCAGATGAACCGCTGTCAGAATTAGATAAAGAAATTAAAAATCGTCTTATGCACCTGGTCAGTATTTTATCAGGAGATAAAGTAAGCATCAGAATCTGGTTTTATTATATTATTAGAAAGCTAATTTATTGTTAGACAGTATTTAGTTTGATAAAATGGTAATGTGTATTGTGCTGACTAAATAGGGGTTGTCAGTCGACGCGAAGGGTATATCCTTTTTCTTATGCTTATCATTGCAAAATGTTTTTTGAACTGCCATTATTTTTGTGTAGATATTTCTTCTTATTATTATTATTATTAGCTTTATTCAATATTACATTTTCGGTACATTATAGAATTTTCAGCGTAAAGTATTTTAACAAGTTTCCGTTTCTTTCTTCTTGGTCCGTCCTGGCGATAAATATTGAGTGATCGCCAGTTAGATGTTAACAGTCCAGTAAATGAACATCTGAATAATGTGCATTCTTTTTGTTGTATATTGCCAGCAACCACATTGTCTCTTATTGAGTTTTTTGTAACTTTGACAACGAAAGGTTGTGCACTTTTCAGAAACGCAGCAGAATAGGTTATGCGATTAATAGACATAACGATACATTAAAACAAACAAAAATAGATAACTTGTTGAAATATCTAGATGGTAGGAACAGGTAGCCCAAATGCTCAAGCAGGCCGCCCTTATGGAAGTGATTTCAAGCATTCATTAACCGTTAATCGAAGCGTGAATATTATTTCAATAAATATCGTCAATATCGTCGACGGATCCACCGAATGAGGGGAAAGTCCGCAAGGAACTCCAACTCTCGAAGCGTTACAAATCACCGGGCCCAGATGACTTACCTCCGGTTCTTTTTAAAGATGGTGGTGGCTTTCTGACTAAGGAACTGACGACGTTGTTTACAAAGGTCTGGGAACCAGAGAGTGTACCAACGTCACGGAATGAGTCGATAGTTGTCCCTATCTTTAAAAAGGGTTCACGTCGTTCTTATAACAACTATCGAGGGATAAGTCTACTTCCGATTACGTCCAAACTATTGGCTTCCGTCATACTTCGTAGGTTGTTCAAAACCCGAGAAAGATTGACTCGCGAGGAGCAGGCTGAGTTTCGTTCCGGTCGAGGATGTATTGATCATATCTTCACCCTCCGTCAAATGTTAGAACACCGCCATACTTATCAAAGACCAACATTCGTAGTATTTCTTGACATCAGGGCTGCCTTTGATTCGTTGGATAGGACTGTACTCTGGGATTGTCTATTGAAGAAGGGTGTGCCTGAGAAGTTTATTAACATCTTAAAGACACCTCAGGTAGAGTGAGGGCATACAACCACCTTTCTCCATTGTTCCATTCAAGCAGTGGGCTTAGACAGGGTTGCCCAATCTCACCATTCCTCTTCAACTTTGCCATTGATGACATTCTGGAAAGAACTCTGATGGATGTAAGTAATGGTGGTGTGGATCTGTTGCCTGAAGAAAGACTTCTCGACCTTGAGTATGCGGATGATATTGTCTTACTGTGCGATAATGCCCAATGCATGCAATCCGCACTTATTCAGTTGGTAATCAGTGTCCGTAGGTATGGTATGTACTTTGCACCGTCGAAGTGCAAAGTACTTCTACAAGACTGGCAGGATTCTAATACTGTACTCACCCTGGGTGGTGAGCAGATAGTAGTCGGGAAGTTCATGTATCTAGGTAGCTGCATGAGTGCTGGTGGTGGCGTGAGTGATGAGATCAATGCACGTATAATGAAAGCCAGAGAAGCTTGTGCCAATATTGAGCCATTTTTGGCGCCTTCGTGATGTTAGTCTGGCCGTAAAAGGTCGGATTTACAACGCGTCGGTGAGAGCAGTTTTGCTCTATGCTTGTGAAACCTGGCCTCTCCGAGTTGAGGATATTAAACGATTCTCTGCGTTTGGTCATCGTTGTCTCCGAAGGATTGCTGACATCCAGTGGCAACACCATGTTAGTAATGCAGAGGTTCGGCATCGTGTGTTCGGGCGCAGAGACGATAATCCAATTGGTGTCATCATCTTGGAAATGTTCTACGAATGTCGTCCCAGAGAATTCCACGTCGTGCATTATTTGCCGTCGCTGGGACAGGTTGAAAAAAGCAGAGAAGTGGTCATGGTATGACATGGTGTCGGGGTATGGAAGAAAGCTGCGAAGAGCTGGCCTGTGCTGGTCCTTCACGACTCCCTGGTTGGGGTCCGAGAGATGGTGCGACACAGTGGCTAGAGACGTTATCAGATATGGCTAAAAATAGAAGCCACTGGCGATCCTGCTGTAACATCGTTTACTTTTTTCATGGAAAATAGACGTAACTTTTTTATCTGTAAGATTTCTTTCTGGTTGTACTTTTCCGTTTACCCCATTATTATTATTATTATTATTATTATTATTTTTACTATCATTACTATTATTATTATTATTATCATTATTATTATTATTACACTACCACACACTAATCTGTGGTCGTTTTTGTTTTTTTCCTTATATTCGCCTTACCTTCTTTTTCTCTTCCTATTCTCATTGTTTTGTGTGGCGTATACATACTTGGTGCCCTCTTGTATCAATATTCATGTGTTCAAATAAATATAATAAACTCATTAACCACACAATGGTGATCTGATGTACTAAGCTTTAAACTCCACTCGACCTTTTTGTAACTCTTAATAACATCCAGATTCTTCAATTTTCAAATGATTTATGCACATACTTATTTACGTTGACGGATGAAATCAAGGATGTATTATCCTAAGGCTCTTCAGTACTGCACAAACGTACCAACAGATGTATTTCGAAAGTAGGAACGAATTTTTATAATAATTCTAGTTAGCGAATATATTTTATAAACTAAACCACTTTAGATGCACAATTTGTGTACATTTTCATTATATTAAGTTCTTTGACATTCCCTCCTATTGATTATGTGTTGCACAAAACTGAACGAAAGCAGATTTCATATACCTGTGATTTTATCATAACTGGTTTGTCGTAGAACATCTTCAAACGTTGATCATTAAGTGTGTTTCGAATGTTCGAACTCGACAAAAAGCCGTCACTTTCAATATTCGTTTCTACACAATAAACCAGTTTTACTTTGACCAGAAAGTGATTTTCTTCACTTAGTGGACAGTACTTAAGAGCAGTATTTTATATTTATCTTAACTCAGATTAACGTCACTGATCTAAAGCGATATTAAAACAGACACCAAGTGATTTTCAAATCAATTGGTTTGATCGCATGTCATGTTCGTTTGTGTAACGGAGTGGCATTACTAGATATCATATGACAGGTTTGTATGACAATAACGATCCATGTACTGAATTACCTATATAATCGAGCGCAAGGATATTGAAAAAATGATCATACCATGGTAAAGTACGAGTGTATAATTTAACTTTACCATTTCAACGTACACTGTGGATGCACGCTTTTTCATTACTATAGTCATTAGTAGATATTGTCTTAACTACTTAAAAATTCGATTTTCTTATATTTAGGTAATTGAATTGCACCTCCAATTTTTGATACGAAATAACAAAGCTGACCTTCGACTACTTGAACGCATACGTGATGAGGTACGACATTCGGTGACGCATAATGCTACAGTTATTGCAAATGGTATTATGCATTGTGGAACAACATCAGATCAGTTTTTAAGGGATCATTTAAATTGGTTAGGAAAAGCTGTAAATTGGGCTAAATTTACTGCTACTGCTACCCTTGGGGTTATACACAAAGGTAAATATTTTATTATTTTCCATTTATGGGAGTGTAGCTACTGGGATAATAATAAACATTGATTTCAGTACTGATAAGGTTGACCGATATTTTGTCCGAGTTTTCACTGATAGTTATAACTTCTGATTGATATCTTGCTGTTGTTTATCCTTTCAGGTCATGAAAAAGAGGCTTTACGTCTTATGTCTGCTTATTTGCCCAAAGATGCAAGTGGTTCATCTGGTTCCGTGTACACTGAAGGTGGTGGTTTGTTTGCTCTAGGCTTGATTCATGCTAATCATGGTGGAACGATGACAGGTAAGTTCTTGAAAGTAATCATAAATATTTAAGACATTTTAATTACTTTCTGTGTAAAAATATCTTCATCTGTAAACTTTTACCATGTATCAAACTTATGTACCGTGTAAACATTTACTGGCTCATAAGATAAGCTAGTTGTATCTATGTAACTAGTTCTCTACTTTTTCATAAATGCTTTTTCATATGGCCTTGGTTGGGGTACTTTCATTATTAACTTATACATATCGGTGGGTATTTTTGCGAATAAATTATTCTGGTACTAATTAGTTTCAATTATTTTGTGCTGTATTAGATTGTCTCACATATTTTACTTGCATAATGCTTGTCATTTAATTTTTATTAAGCTTGTTTTCCTGACCTGTTGATATAGCTCTTTCGCTGCATTTTATATCCATGATAATCTGCGATATTTAAGGGTGGAGATACACTCATTATTTTGCATAAAGTTTTAAACACGAGATTATTTCATACTTCTGATTCATAGGTTCTACCAGGTTTTTTTATATCGACAGTTTTTACCGCTTATTTTTGGTTCCTTACTACCATTTTTGTCGTTAATTTTGTTACCCTTGATATTAATTTTTTCTCTCTATACTGTGAACCTTGTTCATTTTTGTACTGATGCGAACTCATCCTAAGTTTCACGACGTTGTTTATCTCTCTATCTTTTAATTATACTCTTCCATAACGACTGTTAAATATTATTTATTTCTTCAGAATATTTGCTCAATCAATGCAAGGAGGCTACTGCAGAACCTGTCAGGCATGGTGCATGTTTAGGCCTTGGTTTAGCTGCTATGGGGACCGGTAGAGAGGACGTATATGATCAAATTAAACTTAATCTTTATCAAGATGATGCAATCACAGGTAGGCTTGTTTATAATATTTTCTTTGTTATTCTATCCATTCTGTTGTATTCGACGTGAATTATCTATTATTCATAGTTCTTAGCGCCAAATAACATTAATGCAGTTAGTTCTTCACAATGATTTATCGTACATCCTGAGTTATATCATGATTATAGGAGTACTAACCATAGAAGCCTATTTCTTAATTTCATTAACAAGTAAACTTACATCACAATTTCGTTTATTTTATTACATAAAACTGAACTATTTTCCTATATTTTTTAACAATAACTGAATGTATTTAATCTGTGGTTTTGCAAAAGGCTTCTACTCATAGCGTGATTCAGTTGATTAACCGATTTATTTAGTATTTTTATTTATTATTATTTTAATTTATCATACTGCATTTGTCTCAAGGTGAAGCAGCGGGTATTGGTATTGGTTTAGTCATGTTAGGAACTGGGTCAACACGAGCTATTGAAGATCTACTTGGTTATGCTAAAGAAACAGCACATGAGAAGATTATACGTGGCGTTGCTTTAGGTATTGCACTTGTCATGTACGGTCGAGTTGAGGAAGCTGACGAACTTATTGACAATCTAATTATTGTAAGTTTTTTATTCACTGTGTTGTGTAAATGATAGTTTAGAATTTTTGCTGGGTAAATTTTAATTAAAATGGTAAATAAAACCGTTGATCGATAGCTGTTGCACAGTGATACAATTCGGTCAACTTACAACTGCTCACAAGGTTAAGTTATTGACACGAGCTCCAGAATTAAATGGTATCAAAGGACAATACAACTGGGTAGAAGGATAATTTTTTGTTGCTTGTAACAGACATGTTTGTTTACAAACTATTAAACACGAAAGTAGGCATGATTACATGTTGTTTTATATAAGGGATTGTAAGACAGATTTAGTAGGTCACATATACGCCAATGAAATTAAGCCTTGAGTATTAGGCTTAATTTTCGAACATATTGCCAAGAGACTCTATGATGGTGATTTTAATTATTTCTACACTAATCCCTAACAACATTTCCACAACAATCCTAGACAAACCAATGTTCGTGGAAAATCTTAGAGCCTTCTATGGAAAATTTCCCTGTGTCCTATTCTAACCTCACTAATGTGTCACATACTGTGCAACTGGGTCTTAAAACCTAGTAGGATTATATATTCATATAAACCAGGGTTTTTATTCATTTCCTCAGCAGTTGTGAGATTTACATTTTAGCAGTAAAAAAAACGTCAAGACATCGAACGAACTAAAAACAAATCTAGTTGACGTAAATATGTAATGCAGGCCGAGGACCGTTATTTTGACGAAGCGATCCACTAGTATGATGAGTGATTTTTTGTCTTCCTTTAGGATCTCAGTGTAGTCAACAGATCGTGGTTAAAAGAGCTTTACCATCATGTTGCTAGGTTGCCATTTAATCCTCAATACTTAAATCTATTCATCTCACGATGAGACTACTATTCTTATATATGCTATATGTTCTTCCTATCGGTGTTAACTATCCTGAAAATCATAATCTATCGATAGAAATCCTATATGTTTCATCTAACATCAACAGTTATTTAGCAAACGCCTCGTGGCGAGGGTGTTGTTTACGAAAATGAGAGGACGAAAAGCGAATGTCCGGCGCTTTAACCGGATTCCTAACCAATGGTGCACATGGGCTCCAGTATCCTGCGGGAACAAATGGCGTATGAACCAATTGTCGGTCACCGGCTTCCATGGGACTGCATCTCCTTACGATGCTCCACTGCCTTGTGGATCAGACCCTCAAGTCGAAGGCTCGGGGTGTGGCCCCCTAAGAAAACCACCTGTTTCGGTCTGGGTACCCGGGCAGTATCACAGCCCTCACACATATCGAATGAGATTTGTGTGGCGCACATGTATTTGGTGCCTCTTTGTACCAATATCTATGTGTTGAAATAAATAATAAATAATTTAGCAAACGGTTGGTTTGGATACTTATCGTTTCAACGAGTGGGCAGAGCCCCTAATGGTCTTTATCACTAAATGAAGAAATTTTTAATTTGGATAAGTATGTGTCAGAATTTTATTCTATATTTGTCAATTGTTTTCGTCATATAGACAGATTTGCAAACTGTCATTTATTCAATCAACCTCTATCATTGGTTATTCCAAACGCTTCTTTGTATGAAAACTTATTTCTGTTTGTTTTCCTTCAAAATATAGGATAATGATCCCATTTTACGTTGGTCTGGTATGGCAACAATTGCAATGGCTTACTGTGGGACTGGTAATAATCAGGCAGTGAAACGTTTACTCCACGCTGCAGTCAGTGACACCAATGATGACGTTCGACGATGGGCTGTTACAGCTCTTGGTTTCGTTCTATTCAAGTATGTTGTGTATAAACGTTTTCTCAGAATACTTATCGGTTATTTGTCATTAGTCTTTTTTCCCAGCAAGCCATTGCACTAAGCATCCCTACCTTAAAAATGAAGTTAATTTTACCGTAACCCTCATTTTTTGTTACTTTTTAGAAATCCTGAGCAGGTCCCATCACTGGTGTCCTTACTCGTTGAATCCTACCATCCTCATTTGCGCTATGGTGCTGCTATGGCTGTAGGAATAGCCTGCGCGGGAACAGCCCTTAAAGAAGCTGTTAGTTTATTAGAAACTTTACATGAAGGAACAGTGCCATTTGTTCGTCAAGGTGCCTTAATTGCTAATGCAATGGTATTAATTCAGCAGAATGCGGTTACCTCCCCAAAGGTATGAGTCATAAAGATGGTCATTTCATTGTGCTCTTAGTTACAAACTAATATATTGTCAATTTTGTTACTTTTTATATTGCCTTATCATTCACGGATATTTGTTTGCAGCTGGTGTAATAAAACGTTATTCTTAGTGAAATTCCCATTTAGCTTCAAGATTAGTGCGCTTCATCAGAGAATATCCATGGAGGTCTATGGGCTTTTACACCTGCGACTCTAGAAAATCTCATACTTGCATCCAAGATGCATTTGTATGTTGAAGGATTGTTTTAGTGTAAGCTTTTGTTCGAAAATTTTATCAACTTACAGAATCACAATATAGACTAATCCTTCAATAGCGATTCACCAGACTTAAGATCACAATTAAATAATGTCCCTACTGATTTAGCATTGATTATGGCTTATATGACAACCATTATGTAATTAATTGAGTATGATGATGCATCTGTCAGCTGTCCTCTATGCACGGCTTTGCAGCGTAGTCCGTCACCCAGATCTCCTTTTTTGGTATCTAGATGAGGTATCCTTCTTCCTAGTCTGTCGGTACTTGTTCTTACCCCAAATCTTCCTGAATAGAGTGTGAAGCATGTTTCCGATTGCTTCTTTATCTGACTTCAGTGGTATATTGTCAGATCCTGTTGTTTTCCCACTCTTGATTTGCCTGAAGGCCATGGTGATTTCTCCGATCGTTGGTAGAGTGACATCCATAGGAAGGTCTGTGTGTGCTGCGTCGACGTCCGGTGAACTCAATGGAGCTTATCTGTTCAATAGTTCCTCGAATTGTTCTACCCATCTGTTTCTCTGTTCCTGAATCTCAATGACTGGCTTACCTTCTTTGTCCTTTATCGGTCTCTGGTTTATTATATTTCCCTGCTAGTTTCTTCGTTGTGTCATATGTCTGTTTCATATTTCCTCCTCTTGTAGCTTTTCCTGCTGTTCCTGTTAGGTCTTCCATGTCATCTCTAATGATCTTCTTCACTTGCTTGTTTGCTTCTTCGCTGGATTTTAAAGTCCAGAGTGCTAACCGCTACACCACGAGACCACGGTTTCCTAATTATTCAACAGTTAATACTTTTTTTGTGTGATTCCGACCATTTTAATTATGTGTTGTATCATCGAGTGGTGTTAACTTAAATAAATAACCTTTCTAAGTTCTTTTAGCTATTCGAAATGCGTAACAGATCATTTCAAACTCTGACACTTTAAATAGTGAAGAAGTGGGTAAACAGTTAGCTCAACACATGAGTAATAAATAAGGTTTGATATTGAAATTAAATGTTCTTTTCTTTTAGTCCGTGGATTTCCGTCAGAAATTGTTGAAAATTATTGGGGATCGTCATGAAGATTTATTGGCCAAATTCGGTGCTATCATAGCATGTGGTATTTTAGATGCTGGTGGATGTAATATGACTATTTCATTGCAAACACGTACGGGTACGTCCAATTTATTTCAAATCATTATATTTGATGACCTGCATTTGGTACCACAATTATTATTTTAGGTTCTTTTCGGTTAATTGTAGTTGATAAAAGACTTTTACTTCTTTATCACAAGTCTATAACCATCGGGTGGATTGACTAGTTAACTGATAGTCATCATAAATCCTGATTTAGCAGATATCACATTCTAGGACTCTAAATCAGTGATAGCACTTCTTGCTAATCGATTGTTATGTAGTAAATGTTGTCATAGTAAAATGTATTGTCCTTTATCATACTCTAAATTAGAAAAACTGTTATGTACCGGTATCAAGCATACCAGTTCTCAAAAATACATACCTGTTTTAAAGTATGAGATCACCGGTGTAATACCAAGATTAATCGCGATTGAATACTTTAATTGAAGTAGAATAAAAAAACTTTTGGGCTATTCGATTTCTTATGACTTTTCAGCTGATATGTGTCTGGAAGTAAATTGATCACCGAAATATCCAGTTAGCTAGCAACAATATAGGATCTAAGATTAAGTGTATCGTCCCGACCTGCCAAACTTCATATTAATACAATGAAGGGAAATTAACAATGTAAAAAGATGCAAAATTAAAATCTATGATGGTTAAAACTGTAGAAATAAAATGAGATAATTTCACAAGTTGAAATCATGAGTCAGTTAAAGCTAGACCACCATTGAAAACCTGGATGCCGGCTCAGTGGTCTAGTGGTTAAGTGCTCGCGCGCAAAGCCGGTAGGTCCTGGGTTCGAGCCCCGCATGGTGCGGGATCGTGGATGCGCACTGCTGAGGAGTCCCATACCAGGACGAAACGGCCGTCCAGTGCTTCCAGGTTTTCAATGGTGGTCTAGCTTCAACTGACTCATGATTTCAACTTGTGAAATTTCTCTCCACAAAATCCATTCTGAAAATGAGATAAGTTAATTTGGTGAAAAAAGTATCATACGCTATTTTAACCCAGGAAATAGTGGAAGATATAGCGTAACTCCTTCCTCAGTGTAATCACTGAAAGTTCCCTGAAAACTAATGAAACAATACCACTTATTTCAACATGAATTATCAAATTGATAAAAATACTGCATATTGTAATTTAGTGTTGTATAATAGGTTTGATTGTGTTGTGTAGTAGTTTTTTGTCACAACATTGATTTTTATTGATAATAACATATTTGTAATATCCCAATAAGCGGAAAAATTAAATTTTCTAACGTTTCGCGACTCTGTGTTAGCCACTTCTTCAGAAAACAAATAAACTGATTAAATTAGTTCAAGTTAAAATAGTACAGAGGAACAAAGCAAAAATATTTCGTACAGTCAATCAGTAAACAGATCTGACCAAGTCAATGTCATATCATTACGGTAATTTATGTGAGATTAGTTTTTTTATTAGTGTGTGGGTGAAAAATGTGACATTTGTAATGCGAGTTGAATTTCTATGTAGGATAATAGTGTGAGATGTGACTAGAATCAGATGTAGTAACTCGGGTAGATAGTCCAAGTGGGATGAATAATAAGATGTTTTCTATTGAGCGTAGTAGGATTTAGCAATATATATATATATATATATATATATATATATATATATATATATATAAAGCTTCAGCTACTCACCTTTCTTTGTAGTTAGAAAAACCTTTTTGTATTATTTGAATAATTTTAATATTGACTTGATGGTTGTGAAGAATGTGATGCACTGTTATTGTCAATCTAATTTAGAGTTTTCAAGTTCTACACCTAAAATGTTCTGTGCTTCATATCAAAATTTCACGAGATGACTCTCCAATATAGAAGGCATTATAATTGACACATACTAGTTTGTTTATTTATTCTGTGAAGAAGTGGCTTACACTGAGCTACTAAATGTCAGAAAATTTGATTTTTCTACTTATTGGGATATTAAAAATCTATCATTTTTATTAATAACAATCTACCCAATACTCAATTTATCTAAAATTATCAAGTCAAATCTACAACATTAATTTTGTTATTAACTCCTCACATTTTTTCTCTCTGTTCATTTGCTATATTGTATCACATAGGCAATGCGAATATGGCAGCGGCTGTTGGTCTTTTAATCTTTCAGAATTTCTGGTTTTGGCATCCATTAACCAATTTTATCAGCTTAGCATTTACACCAACTGCATTAATAGCATTGAATAAAGATTTGAATATGCCAAAGATACAGTTTCGTTCAAATGCTAAACCGTCGACTTTTGCTTATCCTCAACCATTGCGTTAGTTAATTTCTAATTATTTATTTATTTCCTGTGTTATATTTACAAAATATTTTCTGGAGTCAACAAATGTCTAATCTAATATCTGTTATTACAGAAAAATGACAATTCAACGAAGAAATTTTTTTCTTTTCGGCAATCTCATTTAATTAGATTTTATATATATATATATATATATATATATATATATATATATATATATATATATATATATATATATATATATATATATATATATATATATATATATATATATATATATATATATATATATATATATATATATATATATATATAGTTATATCCCGATGAGAATAATAAATGGTAACTTTCGGGATATACAATAAATCCAATGGCTAATGAAAAATATCAGTGTGAAGATAATTGTGCAGTTAAATAAATGGAAGTTATAATAACGGCTAATGAGTAGTTGTGAAAAATATTTAAAAATGAGTAAAGAAGATGATAAGTTATGGAAGGGAGAAAGAAAGATTAAGACCATGGTAAAAAAGGTATTGAACACGTTGTTTTTGTATATAAAAGTTAGGGTTGGATTTGTGGATAACTATAACCTCTGCTGTACATACCTCTTTCATTTTTATTCCTATCGGACCGATTTTTTTTTGACTTTATGAATAATTTTGAAAGAGGATTCTGTTTAAGTAGACTGACTAGAATTAATTAGTTGTTCTAGAATTGAGCGTATGACTAACTTTTGTAATCCTTTATATAGCCAGACAGAGTAATTTTAGTTGATATTTGTAAGTTGTGATATTCCACTAGGTACAAGGTAATTGTTCTAAACACATAGATTTCTAGTATATTGGTTTTGTAAAGTTAAACATATACACTATTGGATTTCGACTCGGTGGTTTCAGAGCTAAGCGTTCACATGCGAGACTGAAGGTCCTGGGCTTAATCCACGATGTGGTCGTGGGTGCACTTTCCTGAAGGGTCCCGTGCTAGGACGAAACGGCTGTTTAGTGCTTTTCAGTTTTAAACGGTGATTTAACGTATATTTCTGTCAATAATGGAACAACAAAAGACGTGTGAAAATCATATATAAATTATCTCAGCAAATGTTCATATACGTTATGGAACTATAAAGTTGTGAACATTCTATATCCAACTAATGTCCCTTAGTTAATCCATCCACTTTTCAATCAATGTGTTCGAAATCCTCCTGGACTTGTATTTATAAACTTCATATAATAGACATACATAGCTCAGATCCTAATATATAAATATACATCTGAGTACTAGGTTATTATGCAGATAATCAGTAGTAGAGTCATATACTTGTTAATGCACATCTATGCATATAGTCATATTGTCTTTTTAAAAAGAAAATAAACAAACAGTGTTACGGACCGATTGGAACTTGGATTATTCTTATTAACATTTGGTTTATCTGCAAATTTCGATGTTAAGCATAATTCAGGTTAACTTAAGCGCAATTCATTTTATACAATTATCGAATAAAATTGTTACTTGGTATAGAATAGATAGTATGTGGCTAGCATTGAAATCTAAGACGCGGAGACTGACAAGTGGTTATAGATGTCTGGAATTTATAGTATGAATTCAATCATTCAATAGTGACGAATATGTAAAGGCCCATAGCCAATTCAATTTTTTTCAACATATGATTTTCACTTCTGGATCCCCAAAACCATGTCATCAAAATCAGGAAATGATCCAAGTTTGACAACCATTAAAAACCTGGAACCTCTGTATAACAGTGTAGCCCTAGCATGGGACTCATCAGTAGTGCGCACTTACTACTCTGAAACCGGAAGTCGAACTTACGGTCTTACGCACGAACGCCTAACCTGTAGACCAATAAACTGGAATACAATAATGTAAAAGTCTAAGCTCGATCAATCGGTTCGTGTTCTCATTGAAATTCAATACTCTCCATAATTCTCTACTTAAAGTGACACACTTATTATTGTAAACTTTCTATAAAACGATGTTAAATCATGTCATATTGATTTGTTAACGTTTTTTGCAATTATTCTACTCTTCGAATTTTTAGAACAGGAAAAAGAAAAGAAACGTGAAAAAGTAGAGACAGCTATTTTAAGTATTACAGCTAAACAACGTAAAAAGGAGGCTGATAGAAAACAACACAAAGAACAACAACAGTCGACAACCACCGGTGGAGCACAAACTCGCAAAGATTCTCAAACTAAAGAAGTTAAGATGGATATGTAAGATTTTATTGCATTAATGATTTTGACAATATTCTCAGTTTATTATCATAGATAAATCAATCCTGGAAAAGTATTTTCTTCCAACTGATAAAATTTGAATAGCTTTAATGGTGATATGTAGTAGTAGTATTCTTTCTGCACAAACTTGATTACTTATTGTTTACCCAATAATTTTTAGCAACAAATTACCACAAACAAAAACAAACCACATTCGTAGATATTTCAACGATTAAAATTAAGTAGTTCTGTTGTTTCATAGGGCAGTTTAAGTCTAATTTATGAAATAATAGTAATCAAAGTTTATTATTTGAATATAGGTTTCGTTACAAACTGACATCAGATGAAAAACCAACTTTCATAATACAATTTATTGTATTCAACCTCATTGTAAATATATTTCCTTTTGCTTTGTGGGAGTATATTTAATTACGGAATGATACATTTCAGGCAACGGGCTACTTATCATTATTATTGAACTCAAAATCAATTGTTTACACAAATACTTATGTTAATGTTTCTAAAGTTTTAATCTATTAATCGTCGGTTGATCAGTAATTTAAATATTCAAGTTAATTTAACTGTTCTGTTTTAAAACAGAGATACTCCATTAGAAACTGTCAAAGAAGAAAAACCTTCAGCATCATCAACTGAAACAAAAGAAGAGAAAGTGAGTAAAATTTTATTATATATATTATTATATATATATCAGTTCAAGTTGCCATACCACATAGATACACCGATATGAAACTATTAAAATGAATGCAGTAGTAATAGAAGTGGTCACAGTGTAATTAGTTTTATCAAGGATTAGGGATAGATAATAGGATTCAAGAAGAAAGAATGAATTGACGGAATAAAAAGTATAAGTATTTCAAGACAGAATGAATGATTATACACCTTTATGATCAATTCTGAGCTATGCCATGCGACATTTCCAACTATTAGTTACGATAATTGTGCATATCCTAACAACGTAGTTGCCATGTTTGGAGAGATTACGATTTACCTAAATCAGCAAACAAAACAAAAGTCAGCAACATGACAACAGGACGAGCTAAACTATTCACTGCTCTCCGGCCCTGCTAAGACTAGATTCATCCGAGGGAAGGGTATGTTTCACAAACAGTCGGGAGCACGAACGAACAGACATACGACTCGACCGTATATATACAGTATAAAAATGTTCTTGGGAAACGTCACAAAATAGTCTATTAAAATAGGAAACAAACCAATGACACTTAGGGTCCTTCTAATTGTAAAATACAACCTGAAGGTAAAAATGGATGCTCTTGGTGCGGAAATGTGAAATTCAAATTTTCGAAATAAAATTAAAAAAAATAAGAAGTTTATAAAGTGATTTCTTGGGTCTAGAATTCCTAACATTAGTATTCACCTACCTCTACGAGTTAAACAGCTAATAACTCTCTGAACTGATTCCAAGTTCTGATTTTTCTTTCCCTAGCTTTCTTCCAACGTACTCCTTACATAAGCAAATATCACGCGTCCTGGTAGACGTTGGTCAAGGATGCGTAATACATCTTGCTCATTGGATGAAGATTCATTAAGTCATCAACCGATATGCCATATTTGTCTAGTACTCTGCTTTTCATATCAACATAGCTCTCTCAGTGTTCCCACCAGTATAATACAAATGCTTAGTAGATACTTATGTTTAAGTACTAGTAACTTACGAATACCCTCTGCTTATAATGTCATGTTGTACAGAGGGGACTGTTGAGCAGTATACTCGCTTCTTCATTATCAGATGAACAAATAACACTGAAGGTGACTGAAATTGGCAACAATCAAGCAAACTTCCCGAATACGTTTAATTTATATGTTTATATTTCCAACTCTAATCAACTTATGAGCAATGGAGGCTTTGGAACAGATCCTTCTCCACCATACGTGCAATAGTTTATTTGTTCGTACGATAACTACCTACCATTAATTAGTCCTAAAGGCGTTAGTTATTTAAAGGATGTATTTGGTCACATGGAATTGTAGATTGAACCCTTTATGTTTAATTATCCTGGTCTTCATAATTCTGTATATAATCGTTTAGATTTACACTTCATTCATTTGTTTATTATTATTACCATTTAGGAACCGAATTTCAGTCTACTAAATAATCCAGCTAGAGTAATGCGTTCACAACAAAGATACGTGACCCTTCCTGAATCATCTCGTTATGTAACTTTAAAACCAATCAGTCAGGTATGTACCCAAATAATTTAATTTGAGATATCTTTGTTTTGCAATAACAGATTTTAAAGTGTTGCGTAACCCACAGATATTTTGTAATTAAATGTAATTTTTCTATAGCTAATTTTTAATTAGAACTTGTTTTTTTCTTCAATAAACAATGCATTAGTTATTAGTACTGTATTTTACAATTCCATCATTCAAGGTTTAATTTATCAGGTAGCTTGTCAAGAAATGCCTTTCATTGAAAGTATGTAAAATCGTTTGTTGCAAATTTGTCAAATAAATCTAACTACTAATCCTCAGGTTATATGGAAGAAACTACTTTTGAGAAATTCATTTATAAATCGATTTTATAAGAATAAAGTCATAGCAAATATGCGATACCTCTTCTATGTTATAATTGTATTTTCAAATTTGTTCTTAGTCGACTGTATCGTGTGCACATCCTTCTGCTGATGATTGTGTAACTGTTTGGTATGTTAAGAATATAGTCAACCTCTTTAGGAAAAAAATAAATAAAGAAGAGAAGTATTTCTTTTCAGTTTGATTCTCATCCCTGCTTTAGACTAATATATAGTTTAACAATAAGAAACCTCATTAATTTGATCATCATAAAAGTTTAAAATGTCTTATTACACAATCTCTCATTTGCCGATGCCTTTGGTCTTCAGATTTTTATTCTGTTTTTGTTGATTAGCTATAACATTCTCCTTACGAATATGAGTTATCACCGCTTGATTGGCATTGATCTTATTATCATTAGTGTAAAGCCGTGATGGAAAACAAATTGCAAAAGCGTATTTCTTCACTCTATTCATCTTTTTATTGTTAAATATTACAACAAAAATAACTGTTGTTCATTTTATTGTTTCTAACCTTTTTTCTCTCTGATGATATCAAGGTTAATTGTTAGTTTAAGTGGTGTGTGGAGATTGTTGAATGTTTTCGTAGTCATAAATCGAACTAGACTATAAAAAACCTATTGACATCTAGTAATCATTAGACAACTGTTTCGTCACAGTGTGGTATTTCTCATTATTGTTATTGGTTAGAATGAAACAGTAAATAGAAAGGCTTATTTAAATTCCAGTTGTTTATTCAGAAACTTGTTGTGATTTGAACGTTATTATTTGGCTGATAATACAATCAATATCATTTTTGTTAGTTTTCCTAAAAAAAATACTTTGTCACATTTTTCCACATTAAACCATTTTCATGGATTGATGAACTTTTTAGTGACTGAATTATTGATCCGTCCTTTTTCATCCGTTGAATGACTCTTCAAATGATTCGTATATTTTCAGTTTATAGTGCATAATATTTATGTTAGATTGGTTTATTTATTGTTGTGTGAGCTCGTGATTTAATTATCACTCATAGTGGAGCAGAAAGCTATCTTTTTAGTTTAAACACTCAACTATCAGCTACTGGATAACAGTCATGAACATCACTGTATATGATTTGGCTTCAACACCCAGGTAGTATCGCTAGGCACCAGATCGAGATTTGTGTAACCCAAAACCATGTACACAAACATGTACTTGTAGCAGTTCACAGAAAATGAGTCGACTATTTTGTAAATTTAGATTATACGTGTCTAATTTTTATTCTTTTTCCTTTGTTGTAAAATAAGTATATAATTTATTTTGAAATCGTTCTTATATGTATTGAACGTCCTTTAAAATTCAGTTTTTATAATACATTTATAGGGTGGAATACTGATGGTGCAAGATAGGAGTCCTCAAGATGCAGAAGTTTTAGTTGAAAATGTACTTGGACATGGCCCTACCTTAGAACGATCAGGAGGCGGTGGAGGAACTGGGTCTTCTAGTGGTACAAGTAGCTCTGATCTTGCTGCTGCATTAGGCTCTGGATCTAATTCTAAAACAGAGCTTATTCATGCATCAACCATTGGAGCTTATCTTGACGAGGATGATGATGACGATGATGAGGAAGATGAAGATGACGATGAAGATTCTTCTAGTGATATGCATGAAGAAGATGAAGACGATGATGAAGAAGAGTTTGATGTAGCTACAGCCACTGTTTCGACTGTTGAAATCGAAGAGTCTGACGATCACATTTCTAAAGGAGATATAGAAATGAGTGAAAGTAGTACAGAGGTGAAACGCGACAAAAGTCGTGGATCTACTTCAAGCCGTCGTGGCAGCAAATCACATGTATCAAGCTCTGAACCGAATCCACCAGAACCGTTTCTATACATAGAAGAAGGTACAACATCGCAAACAACAACATCTAGCATTGCTGGTAGCAGTAGTACTAATAGTAAATCAGACTCCACTGTAGCTACAGACACCTCTTCTACTAATGCTAAACAGTCACCTCCGACTTCGTCCTCCGAACCAATGGATGTTATATTGGAGACTGATAAAGAAGCAGAAAAGAAATCAGATTCTGAATTGGATAAAAAATCAAAAGACAATAATGACAAATAAATCGATAATAGTTTGGTTTCAACTTTATGTTCAGTGCTATGCAAACTCTTTTTCTTTGTTTTGTTACATTCTCTGGTATTACACTTCTGTACGCATGGAAAATTCGAATGTATTTTTCTTTACTTGTTCATTTTTGACTCACTGAAAGTGTCTATTTTTTTGTCTGAAAACGGATGTATAAATGTATCAGTTTCGTTTCTCCCAATGAGAAAGAAATATGTACCGACGTTTCAAAAGTGTTAACTTAATCTGTATAGAAGCTTGAAAATAAGTTTTATCTTCTTGTATTGGTTCTATTAGTAAATGTGGATTTATCTAGTCAGTTTTTAGGATGTTAATTTCTGTACAAGAAATTTTTGATTACTATCATGCAATTACAACTTGTCTGATAGTTTAGACAGTTAACCTCTCAGATTACGAGTAAAAAAGTAGTAGAACTGTTCTCTATACTTTAATTATAACAGGTTTTTCAGTATTATTCTCAGATTAGTCAGTCACAACGTAGAACCGGTGCTTATGTACTCCGGTCCAATTTGCCACATCCCATTATCACAGAGATGAAGTTTTCAGGTCTAATCCCAGAATAGTAGATGTAATAACAGTATCAGTGGTAATAAGAAAGATTAGGCATCGAAGACAAAACTCGAGAAGAAAATATAAATAAGCGAAATAAAAACGAAAGTTATGAGAAACTTGGGATCTCAGAAATTTTAGGGAACCAAGGAATAGATGCACCTGCGCCATTAAAAATGATTTTGAGCCATCTCATTCAAAGTCTAACCATTGGTTACAATAATCACACAGACGCCGACACGGTAGTCTGTATCTATTAGCATGGTTAAGTCCAATCGTCAATGACTTCATTCACATGTTTTGGTTTGGACACCCCTTACCTTCTTGCAGCTTACTCTTGAAACAGAAAATATCATCCGTTGAAGTAGGTGGTGGTTAGGCATACTTAACATGTCCCAACCACCTCAGTTGATAAGTATATACTACATTAATCGATTTCTCATCCCTACCCAGTACTCTTCCTAACCCAGGCATTGTTTATTCCGTGGTCTTAAATATATGCGAGCAATGCTACTTAGATACCTGTGATAGAATACTAGTGACCTACGAATATTCTCCATTAATGGCCATGTTTCATACCCATAAAGTAGAACGAAGAAAACATACTCAGTAGACTCGTCCTTTGTTTCAGAAGGATATCTACGCTACAAGTGACCCAAGTTGACAAAAGCCAGTCGAGTCATCTGAATCTGTACCGAGATTTCATCGGACACCGGACCATCAACTATTTCACTCTCTGTCATTAATTCAGAAGCTGACCTAAGCCAATCCTGAAGTTACAGTTTACATTTGGAGAGAGAGAACCTCAACTTAAACATGCTTGCATTGTTGCTTAAGATGATCCGGAAACATTGCATTTTTTTCAGTGTCTTCACAAAACAAAAATATATCACCTGAGTATTCTAAGTCAATAAGTGAATCTCCTGGTAGAAAATCAATCCCTTAAAGTGTCTATGACAAAGTTAAATAACGATAAAGAAGGCATGCCAAACCGACGAACACATTTTGAAGCCGTTAACTTCGATGACAGTTCTTCATAAGGTCTGACTCCACCAGTGTTGCTCGAATAGAGAGACTACAACGTTAATTCACTTTTTCGGTACGCCTTTCAATAACACTGCCATAAAACTTCACGATCAACGGAGTCGAACGTCGCCTTAAAGCTAGTCGGACATCGAGAAGTATGTTTATGATCCAAAATCTGCCTAAGGGTGAATATTTCGTTTACGCATCTACGTCTAGGTCTGAAACCAGTCTGGTTTTCTTGGGTTCGCTCTTCACTAGCTCTAGTTAGACGAAATATTATTGAGGCTATATTTTAAACACCATATTACTTAAAGTGACTCCTCTATGATTGTCACAAGAGGATTTTTGTCCTTTCTTATAAACTCGGACGAACATCACTCGAGAACAGTCGGATGGGATTACGTTCAGTTACCAAATTTTAGCTAAGATTTCATTTAGTGTAACTGCTAAAACTGGGCCACCATCCTTAAAAATCTCAGGGGTTAGTTCGTCAGGCCCCGTTCCTATCCCTTGTTTTAGATTACTTACAGCATCTACAACCTCACTAAGAGTTGGAAGACTTACATGAATTGGCCCTTCAGATTGCTTGGAGATAGTGGATAACTGAAGTGTAGCTGGTGACCAGTTGGACTGTTCTCTAAAGTGTTTTGCCCATTAGTCCAATCACCTGGATCGAGGGTGAATAATAGTCCCATCATTTTTCGAGATAGTTTCACTAATAGCCGGCTTTTTAACACCCATTTCCTTGGTGAGTCTGAACAGTTGTCTGCTTTTACCTACGTTGTTTTCTTTTTCATCCCTTCTGCATTCGCTATCCAACATTGCTTGTAATCATTAGGTAGGCTTTTAATCAGTCTACATCTAAGCAACCTCCGATCCTCATGTTCAGAGTTAGACAGGATGAATTTCCGAGCATCTGTCAGCAATGTAGACGTCGCTGAAATTCACTGATTATTCCTAACCTTTTGGTTTTGGTTACTACCAAGCTACCTCGGGGTGGATATCATCCTCATGGTTGACTAGTTCCTTCTCTGGCTGTTCTTGAAATATATTTTCAAACTTCTTATCATTAACCTGGACTGTAATGGGTTTTCTTGATGTGATTTTTCTACTTCCCTTTTACCTGAAGTTTATGCTGATGATGCTGTTCAAAACAACGATGAAAGCTCCACGACCAAACCATTCAGCTCAGAGAACAAAACTGCATCAAAATCATCCGCCTGAGCTAAAAATCTTCATCTTATTTCACTGTTATGTCCATACTTGAGCTTTGAATCTGTGTATTATCTACAGAGTGGAATTATTAAAATCGTACTCTCTTCCATTCGTTTGCTTCTGTTGACGATTTTAGATGATTCTCGAAAAATAACGAGATTCAAATGTAGTTATTAACAAATTGATGATTACATACTAAGTATTACTTGTTCTAAAGCATTCGACTAAACTTTTACTTTGAGATTCTTATTAAAACCAATCTTAGGTGTATCTCTTAACAAACCATTTTGGAATGTACAATTTCATGGTTTAAACAAGTAATATGTGGTTGAAACTTTACATCTATTGAAAGATCAGTTCAAACTGTGTTTGTTTTGAATTTGTTAACTATTAACCGAAAAACAAAAAATCAATAAAAATTCAGTGAAATCGTTTGTCTGTTTTGAAATGATAGTATTAGCGGATTTGCTTTAGTCTCCCAACCTTCAAGATTCAAATAGCAAGTTTCGGTTGATATTATCAAAAACGATTTCATTATCTACTTCAAATGGACGAAATATGATGGAAGTTTTATATTTTTAACCTTCCAGAAAATATTCATTGTTGAATACACCAACGTGCAGTATTTTTTGGAGATCCTTGGACCCAGTGTTTTGTGCAAACTTTGTTCTGAGTCTACGTAGTATTATTTCGAAAAGACGAAACTTTTTCTACACAATTACAGGTAGTGAAGCAGTTAAAAATCAATGTAGTGTAAAATCAGTTTTATATTATGTTTGGCAGATTCTGTGCAGTTTTCATATAACATTGTGATTATTTATTTATTTATTATTAGAAGCTTTATTCAACATTATATTTTTGGTACAACATAGAATTCTCAGCATAAAGTATTTCAACAAGTTTCCTTTTCTTATACCTTGATCTATTGTGACGATAAATTTTGAATGATGACCGGTTAGATGTTAGGAGTTCGGTAATCCACATTTGATTAATGTTCGTTCGTTTCAATGCATATTGCCAGCCACCATGATGTCGATGATTGTACCTTTTTGTATCACGTATAGCGAAAGGTTGTAAACTTTTCATAAACGCGCCTGAATAGATTGTGTGCACAATGGACATAATGATGAACTAAAACAAGCAACTAAAACAGATAACTTGATGAAATATGTAGATCGGAGGAACAGGTAGCCCAGATATGCAAGCAGGCCGCCACCTCTCTTTATTCAAAATTGAATATGTATTATGTAGTTAGTAGATGCCTGACTATAATTCATACTGTTCATTAGTACTTTATTCACCGCATTAATACAATGATTTCTTACAAATCAGCTAAACGAATGATACATTGAACTGTCCATACTCGAATGCCTTCAGGATGCATCAGCTGATTGTTCCTTTTGTTGTATTTCATCATTGTACTACTACTTATTATTAAGTAGTATAAATTATTTTTCAACATTTTAAGGATGCACTCCAGGACATCGTGTTCCTTTGTCAATGAGAAACTACTAATCCATATGTGTCTTATTTCTACTTGATTAATATTATTGTCATTATTGATAACTACTTCATTCAATATTATATTCCTGTTACAATATAGAATTCTCAGCACAATATGTTTCAATAAGTTTCCGTTTCTTACTTCTTGTTTGGTCCTGACAATAAATATTGAGTGACCACCAATTAAATGTTAGCGGTTCAGGAATGGACATCTGAATAATATTCATTCCTTTAAATACATACTTACAGGTACCACAATATTTCTGATTGTACTTTTTTGTAACTTGTACAGCAGAAAGTCGTAAACTTTTTATAAACGCGCCAGAATAGGTTGTGCGATTAATATACATAATAATGTGCTAAAACATAGAAAAAAACAGATAACTTATTGAAATATCTAGGTAGCAGGAACAGGTAGCTCAGATTTTCAAGTAGGCCGTCAATCTGATTCAGCATCTATCCCTATTTTATTGGTATAGTCCTCTCTGTGTGAGCTAATCTTCAAGAACTACGTTTATTCTTGTTGCCTTGGCAAATTTGGATGAATAATAGGGTTATAACTCAACATCTAATCAATAGAGACCATATAATCGACGTTCATAAATTATTCATCAATGTCAACAGATAAAAACATTTATTTATTTACGTTTCACCGAGATAGTTTTTACTAAAATAGCAACTGAATCTATGTGTTCAGAGAGAGTCGTTCGTTAATTTGTCACTATCATAGTGAAATCATAATTTAGATTAGAATCTGATACTATTATTATTATTATTACTATATGTTCTGTGATTATTACTATTGTCTTGTTACGCAATCTTTGCTTAGCTAAATGTTATTTCTGCCTAAAATTAGTTTTTTAACCATCTTTGATTTTTACTCAATCAAGTGTTAAATCTTAAATTATTTGTCAATCCATCATATTAAAACCACGTCTGTTGTGAGATAGTAACTCACTGAAGAC